CTTTTCAAAAAGATAAACTTTATTCGGTCAAAAGGATGAGGGTAAATAAACATGCTACTGCGTGATAGTGATTTCGAAGCAACTTTGTCACATATATTTTAAAAAGTGTGATAATGAATCAAATTTTGCTTTTTGCAATCCCAAAAAGGTATGAAAATTATTTAAATATTTAAGGTTTCCGTGTTTATAAATTTTTCTTTTGAGAAAAGTAAAAATTTTCCCGATAAAAAAGCATAGTTTCTGCAGTAAACTGTTTTCTGATAGAGAGGATCCTGGGGGAGGGGGTGTAGAAGCGTGCGCGGATAGCAAAAAACCTTGACGTTTCCTCCAAAAAATTAATACCAAATTTTGTTTTGCCTTTGTTTGATATGTAATTTAAACAAGTTTTTTTACATCTAAAAATTGCCCCTAGTGGTCAAAACTTGGATTATGTTCGCAGTATTGGCCATTTGCTTACTTTTGGGGATCAAAGTTTGAGGTCCAATTATTTTTAAAGTTTGCAAACTACCCAGCTAATTCTTGGCTGTTGTTTGCAGCCTTGTATGCTGACTAAAATTTAGTTTAGTCCACAATAGTAGATCCTTTCAATGAAGGGAAATTCAAAATAGTATATTTGATTACTTTTACAGCACAGTCATTACATAGGTAGGGTGCAATACCAGGCCAAATTGCAAAAAAAATTACCGATTCCTCCAAATTTAAAATCATATTTTTTTGCTCCCAAGGCACATAGGAAGCATAATTTAACAATGAATTTTGTTGAAAAATTGCCCCTTTGCGTCTAATTTTGCTTTGAAATGCGTGCGTTTACTGCTCTTGTATGAAGCAAGAGTTCGAAAACATTCCGAAGTACTGTAAAATGTAATGAAATCGACAACTTGACCTTGCCCTTGAGACCTTGTACTGCCTCAGCAGTGAAATGTTTTTTGACAACGATAATTTACCAGTGTTTCTTGAATATTTTCCTAGTTTAACTAGTAGAACCGAACGTACAAGTGCATCAGAAGACTAAGCGAGAGTTTTGTGTAGAAATGCTCTGTTTACGGGAAGTTATTTTGCATTCGCAAGCGTCAACAAAACTGCCGCATCAAGTTCACAGTTTGATTATCATAGCGATAGATAAAAGCTTTGAAAATTCAATTGAAAACATTTTAAACTACCCGTATTTGTATAGAATATATGTTAGTTGTATTAACATTGAACTTCTTTCTGTTTGAACCCAAATTTGTACTTGTTTTGCGTTTGACAAGGCTGTCAAGCTCGCGACGATTGGCTTTTATACCTTAGTCAGGCTTGACTACAGATTTAGCGTGTCACAGTGTCTTCTTGTTTGTGTCAAGATGATAATATTCTATTGCTGTTCAAACGAGATATTCTATACACTGGAAACGTAGAGTACATTTTACTTTGTCTTTGTCTTTGTCTCAAGCAAAAAAAGTATAAAGATTAAAAAGGCATTCAAAAATATACAACAACCACGAACATCTCGTAATATTTCTTCGGGGAAATCTTCAAGTTTCAATCGAAATCTGGCGCATGCGCAACAAATTTCCCAGCTGTTCGCCGAAGGCGAAGTGATTACCGGTGAATATTCACCGAGACGAAGTCGAGGTGAATATTCACCGTAATCACCGAGCCTGAGGCGAATAATTGTTTTAGTATAAATTTTTAATGAATAAAACAAAATATCCAAGTTATCCAACTATAAGTTTAATTAAAATTCAGAAATAAAACTGTTTTCGACCGGTTTACGGTTTAGTGTTGCAGTGTTTCTTGTACACGCACGCTTTCAAAATGGCTTCATGTGCGACTTTATTGCTTTATTACAAAGTTATTTTTCTCGATTTCTGCTTAGAATATAAACACAATGATAGAATGACTTTTTTACCAGACTTAGAATTAAAAAATAGTTTCTGTTTAGCATTAATTTGTTCAGGAAATGGCTGAGAAATTTGGTAAAATGAAATGTAAAACTATATCGTTCGAATTAATATAAAAGTTTTAATACACTTTTCACTTTACAAGTTTTAAAAACACAAATAGTACAATACAGCGAAAGGACACCATACAGCACAATGAAAACACGACATAGTCAAAAGAAATACCGGGTGTCCCAAAAAAAAGTACTCCTGTTTGATTTGTAATAACTTTTAAACAAGTAAAGCTATCAAACAGAAATAAATTGCATTAAATAGAGGAAGGACTAACTTAGATTTTGATATGTTACAGTTGTATTTTACTTAAGAATTCACGGAGATATTAATGTTCAAAATCGGGAGCACATTTTGGGATGTGTCTAAAATTAGCGAAAATCGGCCTATCAAATATTAACTCCAGCGTTTGTTTGCTTAATGACATATCAGGCCAACTTGTATTTCAGCGAATTGTCGTTAGGGTTTGTATAAGAGATATGGCGTAGATTTAGACATCTTACATGTATGTCTTAACTCATTGTTTCCTGAAATATGAACTTTCAAAATTATGCAAGTATTTAATAGGTCTTTGCAAACTTAAAGGTACATGAAAGACCATGCAAGGCAGGCGCTTAAATTTTTCTTAAATAGCCTAATTTTTTTATGTGTTTCATGGGTTCAAAACAAAGTTGATTATTTCTCGGTTAGAGCAGGATGAATATTATTCTTTAATGAAGGAAATAATATTGCTTTTTGCAAATACACATCACAGTATCAAAGCTACTATTTTGTTACGTTTTGTTCCAAAAATGTTGGACGTCTCTGGGGAGTTGCTTGTTATGTCTTTACTTATGGAGTTGTATGCCTAGTTTGATTTTGTTTTATTCTCAGTTTATTCTGAACTTGCATTTCAGAACGTTGCAGAAGTTAGAAAATTCATTCAATGTGAAGTTAGAAAATTCACAATTCCATTGTGACAGCTAGCATGCCCTAATTCAGAACTACGAACGAACGATCCATGATGATCCTTCGTGATGCAGTGGTCTCATGAAATAAGGAAACGTATTCGTGCCAGGAGCACACGCGGATTTCGGACGAATAAATTTTGCTTGTATAATAATACTTTGTTTCATAATAAACAATTTGTCAAGTGTAATTTATTTACTGGTAATAGTGCATGTTTCAGTCGAGCAAATCTTGATTAATATTTGATACGCCGTTTTTTGCATATTTCAGACACATCCAGGAATATGCTCCCGAATTTAAACACTAATATCTCCGTGAATTTTGAAGTGAAATACAACTGTAATATATCAAAATCTAAGTTAGTCATTCCTCTATTTGATGCATGTTATTTCTCTTCAAAAGCTTTACTTGGTTAGAAGTTATTACGAATCAAACCGGAGTACTTTTTTGGGGGACACCCGGTAGTATCGTACAAATTGAGATGTTTATAAGATACAAAACAAAATTGTTTTAAAAAGAATATCACGGCTTTTCCCAAAAGTCGGGATATTTTTTGCTATTTCAGATTTACGTTTGAAGCGAATGTTTCGGAGTTTTAAATAAGTTTTAAATTGTCCGTGAATATGTTTGACACAGTAATATAATACTAAATCCTACCTTTCAAGTTAAATACAACATTTTGTGCTTTTTTTCTTTTTCTGGGACGATTTTTTCAATATTTTGTTGATTTTGAAACCAAATTTGCAGAATCATTCTTTTTGAAAAGCATTATTTACTACCCAGGTGGTAAATAATGCCTCAGATTTACTAGTCAACTAGCCAATCAGAACGCGCGAAAGCTCATTTGATATGCAAAATTTATACTAAAACTGTATATCAACACGGAAAATGTTTTATATTTGTTAAATATCATATTCACAGCGGTTAATACCATTAATATATCGCGGGCGCAATGCCAAACAAAACAAAACACGAGAATTTTAAAATGTTTTGATTTGCAAATAAATAAATAATATTTGATGTCATAAACATTTTTAAATTTAACTCAACACAAACTGGTAAGTTCATGACATGTATAATTTACTTATATGTTGTTATATTGCAATTCTGTACCCTACTCCTTTGAAAATTATTTGCAATTGCATATGATGTAAACATGTGGTCATGTATTTATAGTTGTGTCATGAATTTAATAATACCCCAATGGCTTCGAAATAGACAATGGATGAAAAACGTCATGAATATTGAGCTTATTTACCCTTTAAACACTTGATCGTCATGCGCATACAGTGTATTGTTTGTTTCCAGAACCCCCTCAAACAGACTTCAACTTTTTTTGTTAAATTGTATATTTTGCTTCATACACTGCATGTGTGTATGTTTGTGGAAACACTCATGTTTGGATGCTTGACATAGGTTAAATGGTTAATGGTAATTTCATTGGAGTCATCAGGGATATAGTTGTATATTCCTGAAATTACCTCTAAACACCTAAAACAGCATTCCCTAAAATTTTAATTGTTTTCTTAGATTCCCCTATATCGCTCAAACTCGCATTGCTTAAATTGCAGATTTTGCTTAAATCACCTAAAATTGCTTAAACTTGCATTATCTCGTTATCGCCCCAGAGTAGGGCCTACTGTTGCCATTGCTTTTTAGTCCCCAATACTTCAGTGAGTCATGCTTTGGAAATGACAATATTTTTTATTACCCAACCCTTGAGTTGTTTTGTTTTTCATTTACCCAACCTTTTACTTACTCAAAATTTAGTTTACCCAACCCTTTTCTCTTCGGTGCCACCCCCACCATAAATAATGACCGGTCCCTTAGGGTATTTTAAGACACTTTGCAATATATTTTGTTATTGAAAAATTTCATCTTGATGGATTTATTAGCTCTTAAAGTTACCGGACATGACGTCAAAAGGAGAATTTCGTTGCAATGATACAAAGGAAAACTGATTTGCAATTCTCCTGGTAACTTTAGAGCTAATAAATCCATCAAGGTGAAATTTTTCAATAACAAAATATAATGCAAAGTGTCTTAACATACCCTAAACTTTCGAGATATGCAAATTCCAAAACCCTAATATAGGCACTTTAAAATATTCTGCCTCTTCACTATATTCAGATTCAAAAGAAAGTTACAGTACGCATGCTCAAGAAAGGTCGCCAGAGCTAAAAGCATCGTCGTCGCAAGTACAAGGTACCATGATATTACTATATTGCGTGCTTGATTACTACCAATATTACATTGCTATATAACTGTCTAACAACAATCTAGAACACACAACAAAATAGCGCGTGGTGAGCGGATTTTTCTTCCGTCTGCAAAGTAAAGACGTTTACAAATTCTGACGATTTGTGGCATCTCGCTAGTCAGAGCTGAATGTAACCATTTACTGTAGCTGAAACTTTTAAACGAAAATTGATATACAATTTTAGACTTAAATTATATATAAATCATTTTCATTCTAAAATTCCATCTTCAAAAATCCTACCTACGTTCAGTTCATAAATTGTCTCTACAAATTTTCCAAGAAAACACATGTGGCACATTCAAGTCAGTCAATATATTTCAATAGTGCCCAATTACATGGTGATGATATTCATATCAATTATCAATATTTTCAAATTAACATATTCAGATGCATTTGAAGTGAAAGAGTCAGAAAATGTTGTCACATTTGAAGAGAAAGAGCCAGTAATTATAGGTAACACATCTAATAAATTCAGTAAAATAAGAGAATAACTATTAATAGGAAATATTGTTTTACTTATTTGGTATACTTAATTAGTGTAATTGATCAGTGGTTAATACTTATTTATATAAAACATTTTCTGTGTTGATTATATACAGTTATATCAATACGAGTGGAAATTGGAAAAACGAGAAATTGTGAGAAATATACCGGAGAAATATATGAAATTATGTGCGGGGCAATAAAAAGAAAGAAATTTTCCGACGTTTCCGTGTTGACATTGAGTTATATCAACACGGCTCTAAACCAATCAGCGTTCAGAATTTACAAATGCTATACAGGGTGTATAAAAAAGGAGACCTTTAGAAATCAAGCTACATTGTTAAAATTTGAATGCCATTTCAATTGCACATATGCTGAACTGTGGTGCGTGAAATATTGATGAAGTATATTAGACATATATTAGAAAAAGGAGACCTTTAGAAATCAACCATTGTTATAATTTGAATCCTGGAGCACTTTGCTAAGCACATAGCAGATTGTTACCAGGAGCATGCAGACAATCTTTTGTTTAAACGTTATTTCAAATTCTGAAGGTCTCCTTTTTCTAATATATGCGTCCATCAATATTTCACGCACTACGTTTCAGCATATGTGCAATTGAAAAGGCATTCAAATTTTAACAATATGCTTGATTTCTAAAGGTCTCCTTTTCCTTTTTTTATACACCCTGTATTATAAATGTAGATATAAAACATTTTAGAAACCTTTTTCCTATTCTTTGAGCCTCTTGCTGATGGAAGTAAAGTTTTAATCGGAATGACCGGAGTTAATTTTAGTTAAAAATAAATTTAGAATTTTTATCAAGCATGCATGTAACATTACTAACGCCTTTAACATCTCAAAAACAAAAAGCGATAAAAATGAAGGAATAACCATGTTTTATGATGATGCAAAATTAGAAAGATTTTTCATTTTTTCAGGCGGTCGCGAGCGGGTAGAAGCATTGATGGAAGAAGCGTGCAACTCAAGCAGAACAGAAGAATTACATATGGAAGACTTGGTTCTTATAGAAAAATACATTGAAATTTCAGCTTCATACGTGTATAGTCGCCAAATATCAGCTAAAGAACCTTTCACTCAGAAAGTTCGTAAAGCAATGACAGAAGATGTTAAAAAGTCAGCTTATACAAACTTGTTGAATAACGACGATGATAAACCTAGTAAAAATGATGGGGAATTTGTCAATAGGGATGAACAAATTTTCAACTTTGCAAAAAGCGAAGTACTTAAAAATATTTCGACTCAAATGCCTGCAAGGCTGAATGAACATTTGGTCTCATATATGAAATCCATTGGTCAAATTGCATGTGGCAAAGTTAGAGCGACATGTTTCCTTGTGACGGATGCGCTGGTGATAACTAACTATCATGTTTACAGGATGATTGAAAATGAAAGAGCAGAGGTTGAAAATCCCGACTTGCCCATCACTGTTCGGTTTGACTATCTGTACCCTGAACAAACAGAACATATTATCACTGTGGAAGTTGACGAAGCACAGGATTCGACACTTGAGAATGCGCGGTTGGATTACAAATTCTTTCGTTTAAAGCAAAGCGAAGGTCTTACAAAACGAGTTCCACTTGGTCCGATGGTCAGAAATTGGCAACTATCAAATGGTCGAGTTGTTATTCTTGGTCATCCGGAAGGAAAAGAACTGCAGGAGGAAGTCAGCGTTGTTGTTGGCTATGATGCATGGCTTAACAGATTGAATGAAAGATATAAACAATTTAGTGGCGTACACATGACCAATTCACAGTTGTTGTGGAACGATACAAAATATCAAGATCATCTCTCATACGACACAACCTTTTTCCGTGGTTCTAGCGGTTCTCCTGTTATTGAAATGAACGGAAACATCGTCGCCATGCACACACAGGGATACGCTCTGGACAGACCGCAAGTAAATATTCCAAATCAGCAGGAAAATTTCCCGCATCAGGAGAATCTAGATATTTCTGGACAAAGAAACACAAGAAAATACTCCTTGATGGAGTTTGGTGTCCAATTTATTTCAATATGTAGAGATATAAGACGGTGGCATGGTGAAAATGTTGTCAAACTAATTTTTCCAAATTATGAATTAAAACTAAGCGAAGAGCCAATGGATGCAACCTAGTTTTACTCAGAGATGGATTTACTGGGTGGGGCCTAGCCTTGGAAAGGGGATTGAAAGAGGAGTGGCAATTTCTTTATTAAATCTATTTTTCTATTCGGAAGGCAATTAAAAAGACGAAATTAAAATTATAGAGACAAAATGAGATAGTAACTTGATTAAGAAATTGCGAGGCAAGACTATATATAGACTAGTGCCCTTCTGCGGGAAGTCCCTCTAGTGATTAGACACTTGGTCAACAGTCGATGAACACCCCCTTACCAGACCTGGCTAGATCCATTCCTGAGTTTTACTGCAGTCAGTGACAATGAAAGGTGAGACTGATATTAATATGTTATATTTCTAACGGACGGGGGAAGATATTTTAGACAACATACAGGAATCAAACTACAATTTAAACTCTCACAGAGACAAAGTAAAATTTTATTAACAAGTTATGTCCACGATTGTAGTCTGTATATTTAACTAAATTAGGTTGTTCGGTCGAAACCTCGGGGTTCGACAGGCTGTGTGGAATTTTGGACCACGTTGTCATTAACATATAAATACAGAATGGATTAAGGAAATCGGAAATACCACAATATAAACTTGTAAATAACTGGGATTTTGTTGTAATAATTACAATACAAGGCATGCAGCAAGATCAGTGCAACTTTTACCGGCCAAAAATAAGGACAAATGTTGGCAAAATTTACTTTCACATACTCTACATCAGTGTCATGGGAGAACATTACAGTTTCCTTAAAGAAATTACGAACGACCAGCAATTTTAAAAGACAATATAAAGTAGATTTACTGTCAAATCAAAATAGTAACCCTTAGTTAAATTGGGAATGTTGATCGGTTTATTTTATGGATTGGTTAAACAAATGAATTAACTAATTAGTTAGTAATTACAGTAAGTTAATAAAAATAGCTATATTCATGTGTAATTAATGTTATGTTAATTTTCTTTGCTGCTGTTTTTTTTCTTTTCTTTTATTTGACCAAAAATCCAAATAGTTATGAGATGTATTTAACAGTTATTCTATACGAACTCGAGTCGAATGTGAGCTGATAGCCTATGAGGTGCGTAGTGCCGAATCGGCTATCGCTCATATTCGACGAGAGGGAGTGGAATAACTGTTTTATTATGCACACAAGGTCTGAATTCACAGACTTTGCTTTTCGGATAATTTCAATATTTTTCTATTTTGTTTATGTTTTTATCTTCGCTCTTTCGGCCGAGTATTTTTTCAAAAATATGTATTTTAACCATTTTAAATTTTAAAAATTTATTTTCTAACCTGTAAACAATTTGTGGGAATGTTTTCGTTGTGTTTTTAATCCTGTAAAGGCTATAAAAAGCGAACAACTTGCCGTTTTCTCGTTCGCAAGATGTCGGAAATTCAGTTTGAGCCGCCATTTTGTTTTTCTCTACTAGCAGGATATAAGCTAATATCCTCCTAGTAGAGAACCAATCAGATTGCAGAATACCTCATATCCGCACCTTGTGTATATAATAAATACAATTATTAAAAGTAGACGGTGGTCAACTCAAAAGCATATGCTATACTTTGGCCGCCGGGCACAGTTTGAATATCTTAGGCCTGTTTGAAACGTCGCGCTTCTCATGCGAACACATTAGAAACAATAGATATGAGGCATTTTAGTTGATTATCTACTGTATTGTTTTTAATGGGTTCGGCACATGAGAAGCGCGACGTTTGAAACAGTCCTTAATAATTTAAAACTTTTTTATGTATTTACACCGAATTTATATAATGAATATCTCATCTAATGTAATGTAATGTAATGTAATGTAATGTAATGTAATGTAATGTAATGTAATGTAATGTAATGTAATGTAATGTAATGTATATGTTAAATAGTGTGAAATACATTGAACTTGAACTTGTTATGATGTCTTAAATAGTGATAGTTTCTAAATAATATAAATTTGATAATCTTTTGGAGTGTGAATGTTTGTTCTTGTGTTTTGTTACGTACTTAAGCTAAATTAAATTTCCCCAGCACGACTTATTATAATACTTGCCGGGGAAATTTAATTTAGCTTCATTTACTCCAACGATGACCTAAAGCAAATTTTCCACTAGACGAATTTGTTCGCGAGAAGGGGAAAGCAAATCTTGGTAATGTCATTGCATGGTTAGACACGAAAAAGTTGTATCATCCAACTCCTACAGCCTACTTTTTACTGGGTCTAGCTATTTTGCGGGCCGCGGGCTGTGGGTCAATTTTTGCGGGCTGCGGGTCAATTTTTGCGGGCCGCGGGCCAAATTGCTGGCATAACTAATTTTTTGTGTTGCATGCCATATATGGCATGCAACTTTCATATAGCTCTAAATTTCGTGTCGCGCTGAGCGGCGGTGAGCGTACCGGTCACGTGGAAATTCGTAAAATACGACAAATACCGAGTTTTTCCGACGAGCAATTCATCACTCATGCTCGAGGAAAGGCAAAGAAAAATGTTTGAGTGTTCGCGGAAAATAGATCAAGGTAGATAAAGCTTTGCTGGTTTTAATTTTCCTTATATTCTGTTATTTGTTGTGATTCTGGAGCAGTTGTGCTCGCAATAAAATATTAATCATAAAATGAATGATTATTTATCAGTCGTTTTTACTAATATTTATATCGTGAAGCCTGGCTACGCTATCAAAATACTCAATTTTTTATATATGCTCAATATATACTAAATTGTGTGCAAAACTTCAAAACTACAGTACATTTTGTAAATAACATGAAATATATTAAAATATCAAACAAAATTCTCATTATACTATTGAAATTTAATACAACGAAATAGTATTCTACGTCGATAATTTCAATCATAGTTTAATAATTATTTTCAATCTATAGTAATTCCGATCGCCGTTTCCATGTTTTTTTTTTATACTTTCGATAAAGCTACAATAAAGCTAAATTTGTAGGAAATAACATTATTTAGTTATAAAATAATATAAAAGGAAATCTAACAGTCAATCGCTTTCGATAAAACCTTGACCTTGTTTATATTACCGTCGTTTGCAACTAACGATGAACAGTCGCTCATAAAAACATTGCCTATTCGCGTGAGAATCTTAAGTTTTCTTATTTTGACATAATAGCTATTTTTCAATAAATATATTGATATAAAACTTATTGAATCATTATTTTAAGTTTCAGGCCAGTTGTACCAAAAGTTATAAGCGGTAGCGCATTATAACCAGGACAAAGAATGGGTCATACAAAAGCCCAATTTCTTGGTTTTTCCTATGATTTTCCAATGATTTTGGCGGTTAGCACTTTTTTCCATCCAGCAAACCGCCCTATCGATTTTCTAAAGTCGTTTTTTTGCAATTTTTTATTAATTCGATTAGGGTTAGAGTTAGGGTTGGGGTTAGGGTTAGCCTAGAGTAGGGACTAGGTGTAGGGTTTGTGTTAGTTACATAGCCATTTAAAGGCCACTTTCCACTTCAACCGTATCGTACACGCGTAAAAACGTTCAGGTTGATGCAATACTGATGAAAACAGGATTGAACAATGTTTTGCTGCCCACATTGTTCATAGCTGTCAACAATATTGAACAATATTCAGGCTCAACAATAGTGTTCAATATTATTATTATTTTTTTTTTTTTTTTTCTGTGTTGGTGTAGTGTACTCAGGTGAATATGATATTTGTGGTGTTACTCTGAGTGCATATCCACACCGGGCGAGCTTGAAAATATGCCCGGCCACGGTGGGATTCGAACCTACGACCTTTGGAATACTAGCCCAATGCTCTTCCAACTGAGCTACGCGGTCAGGACGATTCGTGTAAGTGATATTTCGGAACAGAATCTAGTTCCTTCGATACCAATGTATTCTAGTAATATGATTTTTTTCTGTGTTGGTGTAGTGTACTCAGGTGAATATGATATTTGTGGTGTTA